CCCCCACCCCCTCTTTCTTTCTTTTAAATATTGTCTTCAAGTATGTGTCAATAGCTATGTGAGAACTAATAAAGATCACCCTCACCCCCAGTCTAGCCTGGAGTCTATTCAGGTTTGGTATGTTTCTTTGAGTGAAAAGGGAAGGGAAGAATGCCTGTCTCCCACAATAGCACTGAATTCACGAATGAAGGGTAAAGGGCTCTTGACCTGCCTGAAGCTTTGGATAAATTGTATAGGACCCGGGGTCCTATGCTGAGAGTTTGGGTAGTAGAAGCAGTAAAAAGGAAAAAAAAGGAAAAATTTTCACTGAGTTCATTGTGAATTTAAGAAGTTTAATCTGAAATCATATGGCCCACTTTTTTAGATGAATTAAATCTCAGAAATTGTTTACAAGTTTAGCACTGAGAATAAAATAGAAATAGGATTAAAATAAAGCATATGTTATATTTTGTCATCCAGATTTTGCAGAAACTCTTTTAAGGGAAAGACAAAGAAATGTCCTATTTTATGTATTTCATTCATTAAGTTAGAACCTAAATTCAATCAGATAGCCATTGCCTGCTTGCCCTATGATGGGCTGCCACTGTGCAACTGCTTACCTGGTTTTATAGGTATGAATATTACACTGCTGATGCTCCCCCTTCAGGTGTTTCTGGTCTGAAAAATAACTAACTGAAAGTAAGCCAAATGGCAGATTTCTGTACCAGGAATTTTTATAACATTGAAACATCCAGCCACTCACCATCCTTGTGGAGTCGATGGGAACAGACTTACTAACTTTTGGGGGCACGACATCAAAAGTTGGGCCTGGGGACTATGCCATGCCATGGTAACCTGTGCTGCACACGCCCGAGTTGAGCACATGGACTCGTTTTCTTTGGCACATCTATAAATTGCTGCCACCATGCTCCTGTTATACACAGCCTATAAAAAGCTGTCGTCAGCCTTGAGTGGCAAGTTCTGAGCAGTCTCCTCTCCTCTGAGTCACCCCTGGCTCCTTGTCTCTCACCCTGGTCCAGTCTCTTCCTGCCAAAAGAAAAGGGCTCAGCACTTAAGTTCATCACTGCCAATTCCTTAAGAAAAATCGCTCCTTACTTTCTTGCAAGATGAACAAGCCAGTCCAAGATTTTTTAAAACCCAGTACAGTTGAACAAAGGAGCATTAAAAAAAGTACTGTAAAAGTGTTTTTCTAAATTTCTCTTCCATATAGGCAAAGGCAGTTATTTCTCTTAATTCTTTAGAAACATATAATGCAGTGATGTAAATGATCATTTGACTAATTTATCACCCTTAGTTGGCTTTTGATTTTTTTAAAAACATGCAATAGTAAATGAAATTTTCTCTTCAAGTTGGTCAGGAAGAGCACCCAGAATTTCCTGGTCTGAGACCAATACACATGGGGATAGTTTAAATTTATTTCATAAATTATATGAAATAATTATATATTTAAAATATATAATTATATAAAATATATAGTTAAAAAATACATTCACTTAAAGAAATAAAATTTAAATGTTCTTCTCAGCCAAGGAGGCCCTCCAAGTGACATTTTGCCTTACATTAAATCCCTAATTTGTTTTAGACACTGTGTTTAATCTGGCTGTTGTTGTGATTTATTTTTATTTTCTTTCCTGGAAGGAAATTAATTTCATAACAGTTTTTGGACCACTTCCCTGTTTTACATCTCAAGTGAAAAATAATGGAAATACATTTTTAAAAAGGTGGGCTTTCAATTTGAAGTTTGCTCAGTTAAGCTGGCATTGGACTGTTCTTCACGATCTAACTCTCCATTTTGTAACAAGAAGCACTGGGAGTCCTCCACACCACAGGACAGAATCCCTTTGCAAAGAAATTAAGGTGTATCTTCGTGTTGCCTTCCACTCTTGGCTTTGTGCAACATCCAATTTCTTTGTGTCGTGTGTCACAACCAATGATGAGCTATCCTAGAAGCAGCCCCTGCCAAAAGAGTGTGTGTGTTAGCTTACTATTTGCCTGCTACTATTTGACAGTTCCTCATCTGCTTTCTCCAAGGAAATCACCACATGATTTCAAGATGGCTTCACACTCATCTCCTACTTTGAGTGTTAACTCTCCAAATTACATGAGCACAAGATGCTTATCTGTCATCTTTGAGCTCCTCCTTTACGTATTCATAGTAATGCTAGGATGTCAAGTCCTCTTCATGTCATGACAGGCACTATCCTAAGAACATTTATTCTTCACAGCGAGATAGTAATGCAAGTACTATTGTTATTTACAGGTGAGAGAACTGAGGCTCATGGAAGTTAAGGTGACTTGCCCAAGGTCACATAGCTAGTAAGGGATAGAGCCAGGTTTCAAATTCTACCTTCCAACTTCTCACCTTTAGCCATTATAAGACATTGCCTTTCAGAGGTGTTGTATTACCATGTCACGGCAGTATCTGTTAGGACAACAGAGAGAGGATTGAAATGAACTCTTCTAGGAATGTGGAGAGAACCCATTAAATAGGCACATCTGAACAGGAGTGTGACAGGAGACTGAGAGGAGATGGGCATTTTTGAGGAGAGAGAGAATAGCTTGTCCAAAGGAAGATCAGGCGATACAAGAACAATGCATTGGGGAGATAAAGAGAAGGCTGAGAAGGCAGATGGAGTCACGCTGAAGAAGTACAGGCAGTAGGGAACCATTGGAGATAACAGTGATCCTAGATTAGTTCTGGAAGTTTACGGCCTTATATTGCATTGGGGAAAAGATTATATTGACATCTGTTGGAGGTACATTTCCTGATACTAACTTGGGAAACAATTACAGCTTTTTCACAGCAAGAATCCTTTGGCTCATTCAGGCAAGGTGTAAGATTTGTAAGTCTAAACATGCCTGTAGGGAGAAAGCAACTAACTGAAGGCCAAAATCAAGGCAAACTTTCTCAGATAGGTTGTTACAAAGCTATCTTAGTTGTCGTTGAAGCCATGAGAATGTGTTTGTTTCTAGCATTATAAAGCATCATGCTAGAGTTCACCAATATGTTTCCCCAAATTGTATAGTGGAAAAATAAGATGGAAACTTTACTGTAAACTTTGCACAATTAGAAGCAAATTTCTCACATATTGGAGGTGCATTAACTCTTCCATTAAGGGAAATATTTTTCTGCGTGAAAGGTTTTATTTATATCAGATAGGTGCACACTTCACTTCAAAAAATACGGTTTTTTTACCTTTTGGAGAAATTCAACCAGACTGTAAAGCTATTAAAAACATCTTGGTAATCATGAATCTGGTTTGTATGTGAGACAGCAAAAATCCTCAAGAGTCAAGTATTTTCTCTTTTTAGTGTAGTTATCTGAAATCTATAAATTTGATGGTACATTTATGGTTTTTGCATTTCACAGAAAGGGAGGAGTAGGTTGTAAGGGATAAAGGTGCTTGTGCACTAAAATCTCTACACACATTGCATTGCATTCCACCATGTAAAGTATGCCTGACAGACTATAGTTAAAAAAAAAGTTCTGGATTAATGATTGCATCTTTTTTTTTTTCTTCTTTATTCCTCCTTATATTTGTGATTTGGTTGTTTTATTTTTATTTTTTAATTTTTTTTTAAAGATTATTAGATTATTTGGAAATTGGGATGGGAACAGTGCTGGGGAATTGGGGGAAGGGGAACAGACAAGTTGCTGTCGTTTTGTTCTTCAGTCTAGTTGTGAAGGACGTTGCTTCA